TTTTCAAAGCATTGGTTGCAAATTAATGAGAAATTCCGTGCAATAATCGATCCATGTTGGATATAATTTTGCCTGAAAATTGCAGCATTATTTATAGCACCTGACACTGTGTGTCGTTGCATTCCGGTGGCAATTTATCTACCTGCGGAATCACATCGAAATTGAATGATTTTTTTTCATGACGCCTCGCAGCGTCTCAATTCCAGGAGCGCGGCAAAATTGTGTGTGCGCCATTCGCGGCGCAAAAAGAGGACTTTAATCGGTCAATTGCAGAAGCGAGAAGTATAATGCACAAAAATGTGACAAGTTGAGGTGGGATTGAGACAAAAAGCGCAATTTCTTCTGACACAGACAGATGAATTACTCTTTACCAGCGATTAAATAGCAGCGTGAGTGAATTTTTCACCTAAACCAGGGTTGGTTTGGGGTCACAATTTCAAGAATATTGTTGGTCAGTGTTGAGCTGGAAAAGTGTGCAAAAACTCACAGATATTTCACCCTAATCACCGTGAAATGTGATGTTAAAATTGACACAGAGCCTTTGGCAAAATCACAACTAGATCCGGAGGACAATGCCGTCCCTGGACTCTTTCTTGCGCCCTTCTCGCGTCATTCCGCCAGCAAAATGGAACGGGAAGGTGAAGAAGAGAGAGAAAAGCTCATGTATGTTTGCAAACGACAAGCGGCGCCTTTGTTCACAGGTGATTTATCACTAATTATCTGTCTCAATTTATATTCTCCTGGAAGCATAGGACTATGTTGTTACACCTAAAAACAGACAAGGAGGCAACATTGACGCAATCGATTGAGGTAGAGACAAAAAGGCTGGGAGGAAGAGCCAACGACATTAACAAATTAACAACAAATCGTCACTAGAAGTGTCGTGAACAATATAAATGATCCGCGGCAGGGTCATTGAGATGGAAAGTCATCTTTGGAGTGTAATTTTAGAACGCACTTGCACAAGAGTTGACGTCGAATTCATCAACTGTCTCTGGGTTTTTCCGTATTGAAATTGAGAGTTTCAAATTTATTACATAACCTAAAAAAGCAATAAAATTCATTTATCTAAGCAAAATAATTTATAAAAGTTGCTTCAATTTGTTAAAAGAGAAGCATTTGCAGGAATTTCATGAAGTTCATGCCCTGCAACGCGTAGGCTTATCTTTCCTCAAACTCCAGCTAATCTGTCTCCCGCCTAATAGTCCCAAAACGTCGCCTGGGCGTCTTCAAGATGCCACTCTTCTCGGGACTTTGGAGTGCACAATAAACTGAAACGACAAGCGAAATGCACTCCTGACAGGATTTACCAATGGCATTCCATGTGACATTTGGTGACTTGCTGCATAGTCTTGTGCAAATAGGGAAGCCATAGTCGCGGTGGAATTTTCGTCACACATTTTCACACCCAATCGTCAGCGCAGAAGACAATCGCTGGTGGCAAATGTGTGTACATAAAATCCCCCAAAATGCCACATTAAACATCGCACAGTTTTCCCTGGGAGAAAACCCCTTCGAAGCCCCCAGGCTGTGTGGCTTCAACCCCTTTGCCGGCACCCTCGCGGGCAAATAAATTCGATTATCATTATTTACGCTACGTATTTCACACTGATGAAAGCCAGCAGAGATACTCTCTGTGCTGGTTGTTAATCAGTCGGTGAATTCTGCGGAATCTCCTGTGGCGGTAGAGATTTAATAAAGTCCATGATATTGGCAGGAAATTCTCTCTCTCTCTCTTCTGTCGTCACAGGAAAGTTTTCACTCTCAGACACTCTTGTCCCAGTGTAGAAAAAAGCCCACAAATGGACTGAAGATTATACTTTTTTAGGGATGAAAATCAGATCCAGGAAAAATGGATTTATTTTGGTGTGCTTTGTTTGATAGGAGATTAATATTTTAGTGAGTTTTTCAATTTAACTGGTAAAAAAATAGAATTACCCATTTTTTGTTTGGCATATAATCTATTGATGGAGCAGTTAAAAAAAAAGATCACTTTAATGGTTAAAATGGGAATTTTCCATGGAGTAAAATATGTAAATTTCTGAACTGAAACTTCCTTATAGATTCCCGAATATGATTTCCACCATATTTCCTCGAGATTGCATCCCTGAATTTGCTGTTCTCATCAAAGAATCGAAGGGAATGTGGCAAGGCAAATAAGATTCAAAGTCCCTGGAGGTTTATGTCGTCCTGGAAAGAATATTGAATTGATTCTTGAGGGCTCCAGTGCTGTGTGGCAATCGAGGGACGCGCGCAGGAGACGCAAGGATAGAACCCAGGGATATTGTATATTAAGTTAATAATTTCTGGAGTTGTGCACTGACACACAACGGAACAAAAATCTTAAGAGGGGGAAAGAGAGAGAGAGAGAGTCTGACAAATGACAATTTGTCCTGCCATGCGAAAGGATTTGGAATTGTGCCCCGAGGACACTGTTTACATGATACACAATTCCACGGCGCGCCAGTCTTCGGGGCAATGAATGCCTATTAAGTGAGTCTGGGTCGGAAAAATGATTTTTCCCATTTAAACTCCAACTAGTTAGTATGCCAATTTTTCAGAGGGTCTCGCACGAAACCTCACAATGCTTAATTCCATTTGCCATCGTTCGCCGGGAACTCGATTATGGAGTGCATTTGATTGGGGAGGGAAAATGGTTTCTCTCGTTGCGTGCATGATGCCAAGATCAAAAAGGGTTGCAGTTAATAATTCAGCAGTTCCAGAGCTTCACGGTGAGATTTGATGCGATAATGATCCCCTTCGGCTCACATCCTTGCATGGTGCTGACAATTGTCCTGACAATTGATACATCGCGCCGAGGGGACGGAAAATTCTTGCCGCTTTTCCTTCCTCCGCCCAATATATTCACTTTGCTATTGTTCCACACAATTTTTTCATCGAGATCCCTTTTAGCATGTTGATATTGTCAATTTTCCCGAAAGCGCCGGGGAGAGGAAGAGAGAGAGAAGAAATGGAAAAGGAGGCCAAAAGAAGCATGATTTTAAGGGTGGTCAATAAATATTTGTCTATTTGCTCTTTCATTCTTCACTCAAAATGATGACGATGGAGAAATACCTAGATAAATATTTATTAAAAATAATATTTTATTCATGAAATAGTTGAGATGGTGTGTGAGAAAAAAAGGCCTAAAAGGTGGCTTCAGCTGCCACTAAAGTGGTATTTTTGTACAAGCAGTTGAAGATCGAGTATATTTGGTATAAATAAGACACTCACGGAGGCTCTCATCTTCGATAAACTCCATTTAAGTCGCTTTTACTGCTTTAGAGGCCTCTCAGATCACTCAAGACAATCATAGAGGGAATCAGTTTTCATAAAAGAACATTTGCAAACGTCTTTTTGCATAACAGTAACAAGACAATTAACGAATTTTAATGGTGAAAACACAGCATTTGTAATTTGTAATTTGTCCGCGATCATCTCTTTCTTCCCCTCGCGTTTCGTGTATTTTCCTTCCTACTTTGTCAGCGTCTGACTCTGACATGTCGAGACAGCCACTGTGCGAGTAGGAAGGAAAATACACGAAACGCGAGGGGAAGAAAGAGATGATCGCGGACAAATTACAAATTACAAATGCTGTGTTTTCACCATAAGCGTTCAATAAACTCACAAAAATCTGCAAATAATTGCAGCTTGCTAAGAAATCGACCAGGAAACACATAAGGAAAGGCTTTCATGAGAATCAATAGAAATCCTGGATTTAACAAAGAAGCCAATCATTACCAAATTGAGGAGGAATGATACATGCGTGCACAAATGCAAGTTCTTCTGTAAACAACCGCTTGACGCCACACTGAAGGGTATTTACTTAAATTTGGTAACACAACAAGTTGAAAATGAGCATTAATTGATTTGTGGTGAATGGAAAAACTGTCTTGGGTGGGCGAAAGTCTCCTTCTGCGTTACTCCGTCGGATGTTTATTTATGGAAGTCAAATTCAAAATGCTTCGCCATGGAAAACTCGATACTAATATGTCAACTCAAGTTCGTATTTCTATCCAAATACGATGGGAATCCTCTTTTGCATTCACATCTCCGCGTGTTTACCGTTGAGCATTTTCTCAATGGATTTCCGTGGAAGTGTATATTCTGCAGGAGTTTCTCTATATATGGAAAATCTGCAACTTCTTCTCACGCTTCGCCACCCTCTTCAATCAGTGGGAGATTTATCTCTGGGGCTGTGTGGAAAAGGGAGAAAATTGTAACGATATCCAATTGACATCTAATCAATCACATTGGAGGAAATCTCATCGCAATTGTGCAAGTTTGTGATCATAGATTTTCTCTATGTGTCGCTCAAGTTTCCGTGTCAAAGTCGATTCAATGCAAATAGAGAGGAATTTTCGGGGCGAATTGAGACAAAATGAAATCAAGCGACACTCATTCGATTAGGCTCAATCTCATTGGCTTCATCATCAAGCTCAAACCCACACTTTGCAAGCGGACAGAGGAAAAACAACGAGCAAATTGGCAGGCAGTTTCGATGCTGAGAATAATGAGATCAAAACCAAAGCCTATTTTCAAACATCAACCAACTCACAATCCGCCTCGACAACTTTCCTCCAACTCGATATTACTTTTTTTCTGCCCCCGACTTTTGGATAAACTCAATTTTTTCTCACTCACACCACGTGAATTTCTTTGTTGGCGAGGATTTGGCCAAGGATGCGCCAGAGAAATGCAATTTCAATTCAATTTTGCACATAGAAGGATAATAATTCAGACATTCACTATGCGCGCGTCATCGTTGATGTTGTAATTAATGTAGTGACCACAAATTTCCCAATAATACAGCTTTATCGCCATTTAGGGAAACTGATTTTCTGCATATGGAATTTTAGTTAGTAATTTGCTAGATGAGATATGGAAAGCCGTGCGTAATGGGGCTATTATTGACTTAATTTATGCGCAGGTGTAATTAAATGTTAGGCTTGATCTCTCGCGATTATTCAGTCATTTTAATCATCTTTCCATCACTGCAGAATGCAGCAGCCGCCGCTGTCCAGCTCTGGCGCCACGTCGCTGCCGCCGCGGCGCGCCGATGCGGCGCTCTCGCCGGCGCCGTCGGACGACTCGGACTCGGATATCTCGCTCGGCACGCACTCGCCGGTGCCGAGCAGCATGTCGATGCAGCACAGCCCTGGATCAGGATCGGGCGGCGGAAACGATCGCGAGGAGCGGCTGGAGGAGCGCGAGAAGGACCTCAGCAGATCCTTCTCGGCTCTCAACTCCTTCCGCTTTGATGTTCACTCACCTGCGACGATGGCTGGTGAGTAAGTTTGTCTGAGAATTGGGATCAGTTTGACTTAATGGACTTCGTTAGGTGCGTTCACGAGCCGCTTCTTGCCCACTCTGCCTTATCGCCTGGGGGAGAATTCTCCGCCCATCGGCTCCCACTCGCCACCCATCGGCATGCCGCCCCACCTGCCCCTGCAGCCCACGGTCCTGCGGCCGCAACCGCACTTGCCCGGCCTGCATCACCAGCTGAACGGCTCGCCGGCGCCCCTGTCGCCGCTGCGCATCCGCGTGAGCTCGCCGGGCCGCATCAATGCCACCGAATTGGGCGCCGCGGCGATGGGCATCTCGGACGCCGGCATCATCCGGATAGCGCCCCCCACCGGCCCGCCGCTCCTCCACCGGCCCTTCTCGCCGTCGCCGCAGCCGAAGGACGTGTCATGATGGAGCGCGCCGCCGCGGAGCACACCTCCTCTCGAGGGCTTTCACAGGCCGTAGGACTGTCCGTCGGAAATCCCCTCCGCCAGTCAATTACTGGGCACCGCACGAGACTGCAGAGCGTCATCTTAGCGGCTTCTGTAAGTGTAGTGTTAGTGAATTAAAGAGCCTCCCAACGTCTCAGCTTCTCGCAGAGCATCGTTATCCATCTGATATGAGAATAATCTGCCATCTGAGATGATAATGAAGACATAAAACATCTCTCAACGTGAGAAGCAAGAGTCCGAGCGCCATTTTTAACCAATTCCCCGGCATGTGAGTGCAATTAAGGCAACATTGGCAAGAGGAGCACACAAAATTTTCAGGTGAACGCCAGAAGAAGGGAAATTACATTTAATAGATATTATACATTTAATAAAAAAAAAAATTTTATTTGATGCAACTGCGCTCAATGACGAATGTTAAATATGGGAAAGAGAGAGAGAGGAAAAGCGACGCAATTGCATTCGACGCAAACACATAAAATTTTATTGTAGTAAAATTAATTTTTACTCAAATGACTCATTGGAAAATATGCGTCATGTTAATTGCCCGCCATGCTTGCGACTGTTGAATTAATTAAGGCAAACATTTCGACAGAGATGCACTCAATGCTTCTCCAATCTTCAACTTGATCATGCCCAATTATGAGGAGGCGCAGACTTTGCGCGTGGATTTGAGACAGTCTTCAGCCCTACGATTTGCGAGAACTTCAACTCAGTCTCGACGACCTGTAAATAAGGAGATTCACAGAGAATGAATAGGAGTGGAGGGTATTTACAAAAGAAAAAACAGTAAACGTATTGAGATGATGAAAATGCAATTTTTAGGATGCACAATGTAAAGTTATACCTTTTGGTCCATGGCCAAATCAAAAAAAAAAGAACAGTGAATCTCTCACTATTTCGCGTGAGCGCGAGTAATAAAACAAGGAATTATGTGACATGAGGCAAGAATTACTGCGTTTCTAAACAGTGGAGAAGAAGAATTAACTTGAGTATAAGAGTGAATAAATGAGTCCCTCAGTCTTTTAATTAAAAAATTGTATGTTAATTAAATTAATATATATTATATTATTGAAGAATGGAATTAAGATGATGTAAGAAGTGGATATTGATGAAGCTGATGAGCATAAAGTAATAGAATGTATAAATAAAATGGAATAATTGAAATTCACAAGCAACCAAATGACTTTTATCTTCATTAATTTGGCTGAATGATGAGAAAAAAAACATATTTTTTATCAATCTTTTACTTTAGATGTAATTATTATTATTCAATTATTGCCACAGCTGACAGTGCGTGCATGCCAAGACAATTGCCGCGTACATATTCACCCATTCAGAGGCGAATGATGAGACTTCTGCACCCTCCAATTTGTGTCCTTGTTTGAAAGAGAAACTCTTAATTAGCGAATGGCGTCACTCAACCTGAGACTCATCACTGCGCCACCCCGAGTGGGCGGCTAATCAACTTACCCGCCACCCACGGGCGACCTCGCGACCCCTCGAGCGATCATTATGAGATAATGCCGCCGTAATTATAGATCGAGCCCGAAACTGGCGCGCGAGCGTGTGTGCGAAATTAACAAATTGCCACCCAGAGTGGGTGGGAAAAAGCGCCATGTCACAACTGGTTAATAAATTCCCGGGGAGAGAAGCAGGAAATTTTTGTGAAAAAGAAATATTAGTGTCATTGAAGATTAATTGTAATTGTTTGCTCTTTTTATCGTAATTTCCCTCGTGCATGTTTTCACCTCTTTCTACACATTCATCATTTGTCACAGCGTTCTAGAGGTAATTTTCTCTGGCAGTTTGTGAAAAGTCATTGCTGGAAATGTGATACAATCGTGGTATGGATTTGTAACACTGGAACTGAGTACAGTTTTAATTTTCAACATTGATTCAGACATTCAACCATTCATTCTTGAATAAAATTTGAGCTGTTATTGTGAGAAATGCAAAATCTGGAGCATAACTAAAGATTTGAACTCTCAAACTAACTAAAAGTACAAAGAAGTAACGAAGAAAGCTGTGAAATAACTTTTAAACTCTTGAATTTTAGCTTAATGTCTTTAGGAATTCCATTCCCAAACGATACTAAAACTCTGAAATTGGTTCAAAAGATTTGTTTGTATAAGAATTCTGAAACAACGTCAAGAATTTATCGAATTTTATCGATAAAAATTAAGATTGACAGAATATTTGACGGTATGTTGAAGAAACTCGTTTTCTATGCACCCTTTTAGGATCCTTTAAATTCTTAAAAGTGCTCTAAAGGTGAGTATAATGCAAGAGAGCATAACATTAAAGCATTGATGAGTAACGAAAGCATAGAAAATGTTTGTTATGTTAAGAATGTCTTCCGCAATTTAGAATTTCCGAAGAAGAACAACAAAAGCATCGAGATTTTACCAATAGTTTGCCAAAGAAACATTTCCCTTGCCAGAGACTTAAACACATCTGATGGATGGTAATTAGGCAGCTTTTTGCATTTACTTTGGTGTATATGTGATTTGTTTGTTGAAGGAAATGAAGAGAAAAAGCCTCAAAATGACCCACAAATCCGCTGTGTGGACAAAACATTGTAGAAAATGTTTGGAAGCCAGAGCTCTGAAAGAGCTGAAGAGACGACAATAATGATTATTATCTTAGCTCTAATCTGGGGGAGTTAAGTTTGGCCAAAATCCCCCAGAGATTAGGCGATTGAAAGCAATTCCTCTCGGTTGAGATTTCATGGGCCAAGAGAGTGTCCATTTCGTCCATTTATGATGTCTATAACACGCGTGCGAAAAGGAAAGGCCAGAATTCCTGGCATGCAGTGCTCTTTGTCCGCAGCGAGGCTGAGGCTCAGGGAGTCTATTAAGAGTCATGTGACAATGAAAAGGTGCCAGAGTAATCTGGGCGGATTATCGCCTTCGATGTGCTGAAATGTAACACATTTGCTGCAGGGCGAGAAAGGAGGCAGTCAGGGGATTTGGATGGGAAGTGATCTGGGCAGAGTGTGACAATGTGGCCTCGGAGAATAATGGCTGTGAGATGCCTCCGGAGAACATTGATCGTCAGCAATGGGATTGTGAGCGAAAAGCCTTTCAGTAAACATCAACGAGATCGCTGGCAACGCGAGAGGGAAAAAATCATCCCAAATGATCCATTAGAGAAATTGTAGGATTTTTAAATTAATGCGTATATTTATTCAGCTCAATTTTCTCCACTCCATCCGTCTTTTTGTTGATTGAAATCAATCAGGTGTCTGGCATATTAATTTCTCAATCATCACTGAGCCACTCTTTGGGGGTTTTCACGAGAATCATGAATGTGCGTCTCGCGCTGATCCCGCAATTCATGTGTGCGCCGAACGAAAATGGTGGAGAGATGAGGAGGAGAGTTACACAATAAAACATTTCAATTAATTGTCCATCGCTGATTCCGATCAGAGACAAGAATGCCTCAGAGTGTAAAACACTGGCGAGCCCAGGATCGCGGGATCCCGGAGGAGGAGGCGCGTGTCTCACTCCCCGCCGGATTATTGATACAAGCGTCTTGTTAATACATGAAATTCATCGATTAGAAAATTATTCACTCGCATATTGTGGATCCACATCTCACATCTCCCGTGATGGCTTCATTTCCAACAACTTCTCGCAAGTCATGCGAGACGTTAAAAATCTACATTGAGACCCCCTCGCGCTCCCAGACACCAAATCACGCGTTCTCCCAGAGAAATTGTGGCAATCATTCTTGCCTTCTCCCGAACACCAAATCCACTAATGAGACCCAGCGTGTCCATCTTGGAGTGGTTCTTGGAGCCATCACGAACACCATTTCAACGGCACGTCGCTCAATTTTGCATTAGCTTCTGTTTCAACCTGTCGTGCAGATAAACCTCCTATTTGCCCCTCACAGGATAAGGTTTAGCTGGGAGATCACATCTGTTCATTGTGGAGTAATACTGTTTTTCCGAGAATCTTCTATTTGAATCGCTTCTTCATTGGTTTTGACAAGGAAAGCCAATTGAAAATTTGATGTGTTGGCATTCTTCAACTTCCAACAAAATTCTCATCTCTATAGATAAAAAAGATTAAAGTATTATAATTAATAAACTCATAATTACCAATATTTTGACTTTGAAAATTTGTGTTCAAATTTTGTTCCTCAAAAATGTTATGTCAAGTTTTATGTTAGTAAGTGTAGTGGAAAATAGTGGACAAAGGCGAATTTTGCTTCATGATCTCAATATATAGTTCTTCATTTCGTTGCCAAGTTAATCACCCACAAATTGCCTTCCAGTCGAGACTTGGACAAATAATGCTGTGCCAAAGACGTCCTTATTTTACCACCCCGAGTCATGAATCAAAATATTCATAAATACAGCAAATAGCGAAGGTCGGGGTAAATGGCGCGGAAGAAGCCAAAGGGATATGGAAATTCTTTACACGTCTCAAGCAATATTTGGCAATCAGAGATTGTGAGACGTGAACATACAATGATAATCGCTGGATCTCCAACTCCATCTGTTTGTTGATTGTGCGCCGAGGGATCTCAGCGTATCTGACTTGGCCGGAATTATGGTTTAGAGAGAGAGAGAGTGGAATAAAATGAATGAATGCAAATGTATTCACCCTCGCGACATCGTTAAACGGCGCAATCAGCCATGCTGAGGATTCCTTGGCTTCGGGAGATGTTTTTCTGCAGGATGGACACAGTTGTGGCGTAATCAATTTGCAGATTAATCTGCGAAATGGAGCAGTGTGTGTGTGCAACCCTTCTCACGCACTCCGGCCGCCCCTTTTGTGTGTCTTTCCCCGCCACATTGAGGCTTCTGTGCGGTAATTTGTTGTGTTGTCATTTGAAATTTTCACAGATGGAAACTTCCCTCGGAAAGTGTGTTGATTTTACTCATCAACTCCGTGTTACGTCTCTTTGGGAAATTCAGTGGGTTTATGAATATTTCATTGAGGCTTTTTTATCCATCCAATTCAGTCACACTTGAAGGTGAGAAACCACAGGAATTCGCAGGTGAGTGAAATTGAAACTTTGTCAGTCTATAAATCAATTCACTGATTAATTGGTCATTCAGCGTTGAGTGACTTGAGAGGATTTCTCACTGCACACATATCGTTAAATCCACAGCGCAAAAGCGCCGCAAACTCGTTATTGGCCGCGCTGAAGGATTGTGGAAAAATAATTGGTGGAAAATTCGTTAACACTTGGAAAGTTGTGGGGTCAGAGAGGTGAACAGTTTTGTACGCATTTGCAGTTGAACAATGCCATCCGGAGAATCTCCAGACTCTCTCGCCTCTTCCTTAATGATGACGATGAGTGGCATGTTTGGCAGGTTTCTCACCGCAGCCGTAATCGACCCTTCTCGCCAGTGCCCAGAATTGAGAGCCCACAATAGATGAATTGTGCGCGCCCGATCTGTTTATTTATTTAGAATTATTTTATTGGACTCATTCCCATTTGAGATTCAAATGATGCCAAAGGGAGAGAAACGCCACAGAGTGTCAATCATCCATTTCAGTCGTCTTCTTGCCATGAATCAATTGGCCAAGTCGAAGGTTTCACGATAGGTGAGAAGCTTAGCAGATCATTGTTCACATCGGGCTAATCTGCAGGAGACTGAGAAACGAGTTTAGAGAATTTCCTGGGATTAGGAGAAAAATAAATGCATATCTTGTTGGCCTGGCAGGAAAAAAAAGGACATTCATAAGATCATTTCTATGCGACAAACTCAGAAGAAAAGCGATTTTATCAATTTGTTGGTTTTCTTTTCTCTATTTCGGCTTCTATCAGGAAAATTTCTAGAAAATCCATTCATCTCCTAAACTTGATTGTCAATTAACTTCCAATTCACGAATTAAATTTAAAAGAAGACAGAAAGTGTTGAGAAAGATATTTTCCAGACCGCCTTCAAAGTGCCAAAAGAGTAAAAGATTCTGCATGAAACTTGTGGAAATGCAATAGGAAGTGCTGTGCAGATTCTATTCCAATTTCCACATTCCATTATATTGCTTCTGTGCAGGAAAACCTTGTGGTTTCCTTATCGGTTTTCCATATCAGGATCAATTTGAAGGAAATTGTGTGAAACTCGAGGAATCTCTGGAAATTCACAGTGTTTCGAACCAATTTGTCACACTAGCACAATAACAAAGGAAATGTGAATAAATTAATTGTT